GTCAGAGCGCGCCCCAGCAATTTTGCTTGGACCGCTCAGAGTGCTCTTAGGAGGAAGTTGGCTTAATTTCCTGTTTTTTTTAATTGCAATTGATTCAGGTACCAGAGTTTGTTTTGACTCGAGGGAAGGTGGGTGAAACCTAATGGCCTTTCTTTTCTATTCTCTTTTCTGAATCAGGATAGAAATGAGCAAAAAGCGAGGGGGCCTCATTCAGGATTGTTACTTTTTCCATTTTTCGCGCTTACTTATGAAGTTTCTTCCTCCTCGGGAGGGGGGGGAAGCAAACTTCATAAGTTTATGTATAAGAGGGGGGGGGTCGTACCGAACCCCTAAAAAGGGGGATGGAGGTTGTAAGGACTGTTGGGGGGACTAGGAAAATTTTCAGAAAACTTCGGAGAATTTGAGAGGATTGAAAAAAGGTAGGTAGGATGGGGAGGGATGATTGGTCGTACCAACTCTATGAAACAGGGTAGGGGTCGTACAGATTCGACCAAAATCCCCAACTATTGATGTGCCTTGTTGCTGCTATTCTTACGCGATTTCTCGTTTTATTTTGTTTTTATTTGTTTTTTTGTATTTTAATGAAGATATTTTCCCCACTGGTGGCCAAGCGATTAATCCGTACTAATGTTGTGTTGTTCGCTATTTCGGCATTTCTGCATTTGTCCCAATTCCGTTACTTTTCTGAATCGATAATCTTTGGTTCTCTTTTAGAAAAAAAAAAGGGGGGGGGTCGTACCGAACTCCCACAAAGGGGGGGGGGTCGTACGAGCTCGACCAAAATCCCCAACCAATGCTGTGCCCTGTTGCCGTGACAGCCTGTCGACGCTCGTCATCGCGAACCCTGAACGAAAGATAATGTCGCCAGAGCTTGTAAACCTCCTTTGTGAACGAAAAGACATAGACATCAACCGGTCAGCAACGCGCGTAGATGGGTAGCTTGTGGTATGTTTCACTCTGGGATAAGTTCCACTTTATTCTTTCTTCTGCAAAGACGTCATTACACTTGTCCCAGAACGAAAATATCCCATCAAAAGCGCAGCTGTCGTCACGTTCAATGATGAATGTACTCATTTTACCTCTTTTGGTTTATTCAAAACATAAAAACGAAGGGTGTAGCGGCACGGGTGCCGATTTGCCTTGGCGTCGCTGCCCTCCCAGCAGGGCGACATGGCGACATAGCATCTACGTGGTTTCAGACCTTGCCAAAGGCAGCGCACATCTCCCAGTGATCTTCTTAGGGTCTGTGCCACTTTCCGCGGCACGAACTACACCTAAGGGCTGTCAGTATTAACGATACGCAACGAAGAAGATCTATAACGCTGCCAAGAGCTCGTGCGCGAACCTCGCTTCAGGCGCTCCATCCTTCCTCAGAAGACAACAAGTAAACATTGATTGCAAAACACTGTCATTTACTGCTGCATGTGCTATCCAGATACCCCTGCTGGTGGGTAGACTGACCAAGCATCCATAGACGTTGAGCACACATTTCTTCTTTCCATGCGCTGCCAGCTCCTCTGTTGACAAGCTGGAGCCCAACAGCCGATTGCGCCCTAGGGTCCAAGCGGAGCAAGCCTCGATCAGCAAGGCCATACGCAAGCCAAGATGAGCAAGGCTAGGCACAGGTAGGCGCCGGTCAGGACGGCTACGCTAAGCCCGATCACACCGAATCGCTCAGCCCGTGTCGTGGTCTAGTACATTTCACTTCCCACTTCCCGTACTGCCATCAGCAGCTTCACAACCGAACAACAATACAGCAAAACTTCTTTCGCTTTCGACAGGCGGGGCGGTTGAGACACCGGCTTGCGCATATTTTAGGCGCATGCAATGCGCTTTGCCCTGGAGCATGGCATGCTTCCAGGCAATTCGTGTCCCGGGTGCCTGTGGTGCGCCCGGGATATGAATTGCGTTCCTCGACAAAGGGCACAGATCGGCTGGTGCGTCATGTGCGCAGAAATAATTACATGTGGCATACATACGATGGTGGAAAGATGGTTTTGGAGCTGTTATGTCAAAATCCTTTAATGGTAAGCTTTCGGCGATAACGCTCTCGTCAGTCCTTCAAAATACATAATTTAGTGGCCTACAGCATGTCGTAGACAATAAGATCAAAAGTATCCTTCGAAACAACGGATCGAGGGAAATTTCAAAACATGGGTTTCACATAGGTTGCCAGATGGAGTGACCCTCGCAATGCCTTTTGTGAACGGTAAAATGGCACGAGAAATAAATCGCATTGTGAAGAGTTCCCTGCTTCCCATCCGACTCGTCTTCCGCCCTCCTCCCACACTTAGAGACCTCCTTACTTCGTCCCGGATCTACGAACGTCGGTGTCACGAGCATTCTTGTCGATACTGTTTATCCGAGAAGATCTGTGAGCTCCAAGACACTGTTTATTTGATCGATGTGTGAGCTTTTGGAGGAGAGTACGTGGGGAGGCTGCAAGATCGCTGTAAAATCGTTTGGACGAACACAGGAGAGCGCTGTTCAATCCCGCAGCCTCCCCACGCAGCGCATTCTCCAAGCATCGTATCCTCAAGCATGAGGACGAGCACCCTCCACCATTTGATGTCAGTGTTCTACACAAACACTTGTACGACCGCTAGAGAGAAAAATCATGGGGCGAGGGAAATCCATCGCATTCAAGCCAGCAGTCAACGCGAGGGGGAGCTACGTGACCTCTTAAGGCTAATCGCGTGATAACTGCGACAAAAGTGCCATGTGCCTTAGGGACTAGCTGCTGTAGAGTCTTCACTTCATTTGCGCCACCAGCACGTTCACTCCACCATTCGCGTCCCCTCCCCACCCGTGGTAGGTATTGATGCTGATGTTAATGTAATTGTTGTATTTGTAGGTCACTAAATTATTGTAGTTTGAAGGTCTGACGACCGCGTTATAGCCGAAAGCTCATCAATAAAGATTTTGATACAAGAGTCTCAAGACCACTTATCCATCAGTTTCGATGAAGCTCAGAGATAGCAGCATTCTACAGTACATACAATAGGTAAACCCCATAGAGTAACGCACCTGTTAAGAGAAGCTCTTCTGTTCGGAAAAACATCCTGTTGTAGGCGCAGTCAAACCGATGATGCTAGTTGTCAAAAGGAGCTATCGCTAGGTGTGCAGGTCAGTCACGGTTATACTTCGGCATTTCAGATGACCGCAAAGCTACTCAATGATGCATTGTTAACCATGCATCAGCAGCATCAGTTCGGTCAGCTGGTATTCTATATGGAGGCGTGTGAAAGTGGCTCCATGTTCAAGAATATCCTGAAAAACGACATCAATGGTAAGTTCATTTACAAGCTGATATGAGCTAAGCTAATACAAGCTTTTCATGTTGGTCTGTCATTTTGATGTTGACAACCTTGTGAAGTTCAGCTGATTCTGAATTACAGTGTACGCTATCACTGCTGCCAATGAAGAGGAGTCATCGTATGCCACTTACTGCGATAATGACCTGGGTGTACCATGTCTAGGAGATGAGTTCTCAGTAAACTGGATGGAAGACTCCGACGAGGTATCATTACGTCTATTTCCTTGATCTTTAGTCTATCACTCGGTTGCCAGAGAGCTGTGTCGAAAGAAGGCTCAAAAGGGTCGGAAAACTCCGCGTTGTTTTGATATGATTGCGAGTCTTCAGTAGTAGTAGAATGAAGGGGTAATAGCGGGCTCGTTGAGTCAGTGGTTGGCGCACGCCTTCGCTAAGCGGGTGCGCGGGTTTGAGTCTCGTCTGGGGTCTGACTCTTGCCCGTAACTCACCTGCTAACAAAACGGAATTGTGCACACTAAAGTGTCTCAGAACACTACCTTATCTTACCTATGACTTAATCTGCTCTAAAGGAATCGTATATTTTGGTGGAGCGAGCTTAAACTCCGAGCCTTAACAGCGGCTAACTCTCTGGTGAGAGCCTTACAGATCTGCTACTGCTCTCCGAGAACCCTGATCCTTTTTACGGCGTGAACGGCTCCGCGGCAGTAGGAGTCTGCTAGTCAAAAGAACGCTGAAAGGAATGAAGAAAAGCGATAGCCGATCGCTGTTCAGGCCTCCTGCCACAAGCAGGCATGTCAATGCAACGTGCCACACGACCAGGCATGCACCTAACCATAGTGAGACGCACTACTTGTCTTTGCCCTCTCACCTTTGGTTGTTCTCTATACTTGACGCAGCAAGCGAATAGCGAACAGCAATTAGCCGTTCGCTGTAGGACCTCATTCACGTGCATGCCGCACGTTGTGGGTAGCGGGTGGGGTCCAGAACAACGAAGTGATGCACTTCGAGTTGCCACAAGAGTGTTGTTCTGCTCTTCACAAAGTTAATAGTTACGAATGATTTTAGAATTGATTCAGACCTCGACTTTGCAATTTTGAAGGCCTGAAAAACTCCTTTCATTCGAGGTTGCAATGCCCACATTCCTTGAGGAAATTTTCAGTTTTTGGACGCACCACCTCAATTATTGTTAGCACCTTACTAGATACCAATTCTCTGAACAAAGGGTTCAATACCGCCATTCCCATATGCTTGTTCCTTTGAGACGATCAGCCTTCAGAACCTTTGTAAGCCGCACTGAACAAGAAGAAGGAATTTTTGCAGACGTTTGATCGTCACGGTATGTCTTCAACTACATGCCATATCCCAAAAATGTAGAGGGCGTAACTACGTGCTCTATCTGTACCTTGCATGAGATGCCTTTTTCGCGGGTCATTCCACTTGAGACAATTATTTTTCGGGATTGTGCTAGACGAAGACATGATTTACAATTTTGCCGAAGGGCAATATCTCACTTGAGCCTAGCTCGTCTGACGAGTTACATAGCCACGTCTTGTCCGCCTTAGAGCGCGTTCAGACTTCGCGATCGCGCGATCGCGAAGTCTGAACGCGCTCTTAGGGATATGGAGTGCACCTGCCGCTCCGGTGAATGCGGTCCGCATTACCCTTCCCAATAACATTTACCAACCTCGTACGTTTTTCCGAGTGTTCAGGACACACTCGTATACGGTAAAAGCGCAGTATCAAACAACGTTGAAACTTCTCTACCTGACTAACTAAATTCTTTCCAAATATTCCAAATAGAAGGAGAGATACCTGTGAGCATCCTCGATTCACACTTGAAATTTCAGTATGATCTCAACTACGAGACACTGGACAGGCAGTTCGAGCAGGTGAAGATATGGACAGGAGCATCTCATGTGATGCGTTATGGTAATCTTAGCATAGGCGAAGAACCAGTGAGTTGGTTCCATGGTGCTGCGAACGTCAAGCCGAAGATTGGCGGAAGCAATAAAAATGTGAGAACATCCAATTTCTCGCTACTGCTTGAATAAACCAGAAAATGAATTTGGTCCGTAACTAAATCTGTGAATTTTCAGTCTCAACACCAAAAAACGTTATGGCCGTCGAGAGATGTCGAACTCATGCATTTGCTAGAGATGAAGAAGCTTCACCCACACTCAGCCGTCGTTGATGTTGAAATCAGCAGGATTCAGAAGGTAAACTACATAGAACTACAGTGTGGCCACGTAGGTAACTAATCGCCCAAAGGAGGTTCATCCAGTCGTCATAGGTTCGCCGGTCAAGTGGTCCCGACAGGGCTTGAAGCCATATTCTACTATAGCTGGGTGTGGACCACACCTACAGGCGTCAGTTACTTCTTATATGAAACTTTCATCCCTGGCCGCCTTCTTTCGAAGGAGAAAACGAAAGCTTTTATTCGTGATTTTTTGGTTCTAGAATCGAGAAGGGGGACAGGGTTGAATGTGCATTCCGCAATGGCAACATCCAATAAATTAGTGAGTCCAAGTGGATCTAAACTGTCTTTCTAATGAAGATTGATGCAAGTGGAACTACCGTGAATGAGGACCCCTCAACTTTTGTTTTTCTCTGTACTGAGCAGGAATTTGAAGGACGAAGAGGCGCTATGCGTGCGAAACACCATAGACAAAGGAAAACGAGCAAAGGCAAGCAAGGCGACAGCCATGGGCTAGAAACGGCGACGGTCTCACGCAGCTATGAGCGCAGTGTCGTTGATCTCTTGTTTTAGCCAGAGCACGACGTATGTTAGGGATCCCTGGCGGGGTAGGGGGGGGTCGTACTACAGGAGGACTGGGGAGGAACATGCTTTTGTGCAAATTTTCTTAATTATTGACTTCACTTGGCTTTTAACCTTTCGCCCTCCTTCCCGACGAAACTTCTGGGGGAATGTAAAGAATTCAGGAAAAACTCCGGAAACGGCGTATAAAGTTGAAAAGGGAAGCCGCAGGCAGGACGGGGACTTCACCCCTTGTCATTTTGTTTACTTCTACTGTGCAAAGGAGATGGTAGCTCCGAGTTTGCAGACCAAACCAACTTATGCGAAACATCCTGCATGCCATGTTGATCTCTTTAGTAATCAGTCGACTCTCTTGTTCAAATTATTAGAGGCAAGCGGCGCGACAAACCGTCGAAGCGTTCAAGACCGAAACGCTTGCACGAAAAAATATTGTGCCCGTAAGCAGGAGCTGTGTGGCGCTTTTGCAACCGAGGGCATCGTTGTAGCGTTTGACCAGGGCACAGTATGCCCACCCTGACGCTCAGCGCAGTCGCTCGCCTACAAATGGCCGCTCAGTCACATCAATGCTGACACCCTGACCTCCTTATTTATGGAGTACGATTGATAGGGAGCCTTGCTACATGAGCCTTCGGCTCTAGGAGCCCATTCGAGGGGGGGGGGTGGTACTCACACCGACATTTCGCACATCCCCATGCTGTACCCGCTGGGGAGTAATTCGTTGGGCTTGTCAGCGGGATGAGTTTGACGCGGAGCCAAACCCGTTCTTCCACCAGTTGTTAAAGCGAGCAAGTGATATGACTGTATCATATCGTTCGTATTACTCGTTTTCTACCACTTTTGTCGCATGCGCGCTTCAACAAGAAGGCAGAGAACGGCTTTGACGGGGTGACACACTCATACTGCCTGACACGCCCAACCGTCCGCAGCGAACTAGAGTGTACAGTCCTCATCATTGCGGACCGGTGGGGCGTGTCAGCCAGAAGGAGTGCGCACACTGTTGAAGCCGTTCTCAGCCTTTTT